CACGACAAATAAAAATAAACGACTAGTAATATTGTCATTATTATCGTATGTTAGAAAATAAATAGACCTAATATCGTTATCGCAATACGTTTTAAGGACAAGTGATTCGAATCCAGTCTTTGTTTTAACTTTTATTTTATTTTTTGGGGGAATCAATAATAATTAAACTAACTTAAATAATTTTGCTATGAATAAAAAAACTCTTTATTGATATTTTATAATATATGCTTTAATTTAATTTTTTTTAATTTGGTATTTAAGACTTATGAGTATAGGTTGTCCGTAGGATTAAGAGTTATAGATTTAGTGGTCCGTAAGGTCTAAGATATTGGCGACCGCTGTCCTAAATAGTAAAATAAATAAAAATTACTGTTTTCGAGACATTATACTCAATGGCTATTAACAACTAATTCATTAGAATTAAGGAATACATAAAACTATTAATTTATTCAACCCAAATGTAATTAATATTATAATATGCTCATGTAATATTAGCTTTAACTTTCAATTTTGTTTTTCGATATTAAAATTAAATTACAACTTTTGATTTTTAAACTGAATTATGTTTGTTTTTACATTTTATGGACGAATATTAATATAGTACACGCTTTTTTGAATTATGTGTCTTACTCAATAATAAATTATGCTTAAGTAAACTTTAGATTTAGAATTTGAACAATTCATAATCGTACCTAATAAATTATCATTGATAAATATTCAACAATTTATTTTATTCAAAACATACATTTATTATAACAAAATCAAAGTAATTTTATGATTGATATTCTATAAAATAAAGTTAATTACATTGTAATTTCTAGATTAAACGCATTAATTATGAAAACATAAAGATCAAACATAAATGGATGGATAAATGTGTGTATAGAGTTATTACAATCGAATAAACAATAATATTAACTGCAAAGTTTATGGCTTTATGTTGATAATTTAATTTCTAGGTTATTGACAATTAATCCATCCATTTCGAAAACTCGAGTTTATCATAATTAATTCAAAATAATCAAAATGAAATTTTATATATCAACAGATAATTATTTTTAGCAAAAATGCAAAAATATATCAACAATTACATTTACTTTTAAATACCTTTTTTTATAAAACTATTACGTATTTGATGATTCTAATTAACACACTCCATTTACATAATTTATGAACAAATGTACCCCACAACATCTCCAATCATACTTAATACTAAGATCATAGCATGCAAATATCCCCTTTAAAACAATATTCGCCCTGGAAATCTGCCCAAATGTAATAACCTTTTAAATTAATATGTATCAATTATGACTGGTAATTAACCATCATATTTTAAAAAACTACCACCACCGAGTGGCATCTTTTAATCTATTTTATATTAAGTCAAATCTGTACCAAATATATGCATAACTAATTGTAAAATTATTGTAAAAGTTTTAATTTACAAATTGGTGTATAATTAGTAAAAATAATAAAATATATTTTTATTATATGTACGTCTTTTAATTATGATTAGTTTTAAATTGAACATATCCATCAATACAAATAATTGTTCTAAGCAATACTCCAAGAATTTATTTTCATCATTTTAAATTCTATATAGTACATAATAACTACTTAGGATAAAGCAAGCTTTTTTGACTAAAATAAATCATAAGTAGTTTAAATTATCGATATATCATAAAATATTTCACTACTTGATTTTTAAAATATTTTTTATTTATAAAAATAATGTGCTATTTGAAATTTTTTATTTGATTTTAACTTGACTCGATTTTAGAAGTATTAAATTATTCGAAAACTAAATAATATAGTTATACTTTAAAATAAATTTAAAAAATAAAACTCAAAAAAATATAAATTTAAACGTTTTTAATAAATCGATAAACAGTAACATAATACGTATAGTCACATACGACAAGTACTAATCTTAATGTCCGTCATATTCACTATGTACGTAAGAAAAAAAGAAAAATGTACACGGTAACAGCAATGAGTATACTCGTGTACCTATACTAAAACAACCGACACCGATAAAATTATAACTTACTATAGTTCAAATATCTATCTTTGATTTAGATACTAAATCAAACATCGGTCGCCACGAAAAAAAATTCAATAACACGAAATCTAGTAGATCTTTATCGCTTCGCAAATACTTGTCGATATCAGTGCTTACTGTCTATACAGGGTGATTTATTTTTAAATTGCAACTAAACTTTTTAATGAACCCCAGTCGTCAAGTAAAGTCGAAAACCGCTTTTAAAATATAGTTTGTCCGCATACTTCAACGAGCTTGTATGCGGCGTGCTTTGGGTATAACTATATTTCACCTCATTTATCAAGAAATACTAACTAAACCTCAATAATATAAGTTTATCTACCACAAATAATCCCACATTTATTGTTATTCTTTTTTTTTTTCGTGTCATCTGTTGTCATAAGTTTTCAAAAGTATAGCGAACTATTAGAACAGAAGTGTTTTTTGAGGTCAACAAACATTGTACAGATACGATAAATACTTCTATGATAAATAACTATAAATATTGAAGTAGGGACAAAAAATATACCAGAAAAATCACAAAGAAATAGAAATCAATTATTTGATATTTTTACCAAAACAAAAATGCGTTAATTTATCTAAGAATGAAATAGTTCATTTTTTTCCTATAATTGTTTATTCGGGTGAAATGGTATTTTTGGCTTGAACTAGTTTTCAATTTTTCATATTAGAAAATAGAAATAACTCTAAATAATTGGTACTCTGATCGATAACACTCTCAGTACTGTAATATATATTTTGACGTTTGAGATAATTTTAAAAATATTATTGCTCGAGACTTGAAATTGTATTATAACTGCAGAGTGATATTAAAATAGGATTTGATTTTGAATAAAAAGTATTCTATGGAAGTGGTAAATAGCTAAAAATATCGAAACATTTTATCGTTATTTTTAAACGGGTATCGCTCAATATTGGTTATTAAAAAAAAAAAAAAAAATTAATTGACTCGTTTCTTACGCAATCATATAGAATATTATGCGATAATATTAATAGGTATTATATTATTTTCGTGACATTCTCTTTCGAGCCATGAAACAGCGTACCTATAAATACATGTAACGCGTATAATATGCGTATCACCATCAGAACTACCCCCTGGTGGGGGTGAAACTACCCCTACAAGCACCGCGACCGCCACTCAATATGCTCGCGTGGCGAAATCACTCGTCGTAATCTACGCCAATGGGTACGTGACGCCGCCACCGCCACCACCACTGGTACAACGTCGGAAACCCCTGAACAGCATCAGTGGCATCAGAAACCATTGTTCACAGACCGTATAAATGTTGCGCTTTCTCGAGCGGTATATATGTTTGTGTGTGTGTGTGTGTGTGTGTATATAATACGTGTACACAACACTCGGTTGGTTGGCGGGCTGCGCTACGTGTTAAATTATTACTTAATTAAACCGTTATCTCTGAGAGGTAGTTATGGTGGCCGAACGCGAAGATATTCATTGGGCTTGAGGGTCGGAAACGGAAGGATCGACTTAAGTCTTGGGGGACTGGTGCGCTCTCACCCCGCAGTGTACAGGTATAAAATACGAGACCCCGCTACCCCTTTTCGCACCGACAACGACGACAACGACGGCGGCGGCGCCACCCGTGTCCAACGCGCCACTAGATTTATCGTGTTTTAAGTTCGGTTCTTCCACTCACTCTCTTTCTAAACCTACGCAGTCAATCTCTCTTTCTTTCTCTGTGTCTCTCTTCGTGTCAGTCTTCTTCCATATAGTGACATCGTTACTACGCACATACACTCAGTAAACGTATATATATATATATATTATACTTATACAGAATTATTTGCCAAATATGTTAATTTCTATTTTATTTGTTTAATAGAGAATATATTCAAGTTATGGTTTTTGGAAATTTTAAGTATACATAAGCGCAATATTTAGATCGTTTACACAATTGTTTGCTAAAAACTCAATTTTTTTAATGATAATCAATCTTTCAACTGTACATTATGAAATAGATGGTTTTCTTGAACATTTTGATTTATTCAAACCAAATTTAGGGCGGGTTGTCTATGAATAATTATAAGTATTTAGCATTTAAATGAGCGTCGTGGGTACAGGGGTACTTCGCAAAATATTGATGCAGTATACTTTGCTCAACTTAACTTAAAATACTTTAATAAACTAATTAACTATCAGTTTGTAATTTGAATTTTATTTATTTAAATATTTTTATTCAGGATATACAATAAAAAATGTATCTTGTAATTTAAAAAAATTAAAACTTAAAAAAAATTAGAACAATAAAAAATTAAAAAATTATGTTTTTTACAAAAAGTTAATCTGTAATTAAACAAAATTATAAAAGAAAAACAATTTTCAATAACTTTACTTTTATTGTTTGAAGTGCTTAACATGAATCACTTGATACTATGTATTATATTATTTATGTGTATTTGAGGTGCATTTTATTCACTACGCGCCTCCCTCTTCTATTCTCCTCTTCGCATTTTACGATCAACTTTAAAAAATGAGATATTATGATATTATATTTGTATATACCTACTCTTTCTGTAAAATACATCTATATAGATACGTGCACACAAATGACGCAAAACAGAGAGTGTGACATAATAAAAGTCCATACGATGTATGCATCGTCAACTATATAATATACAACAATTCGTTACGTTTACGCAGTGGCATGGGGTAAAAAAAAAACCGTACCTCAGCGCGGTTGACCATGAAATTACCGCACAAATACGTTTACGGACGCACACTGGTCCACACAACGTCTATTGGCCGGACACAGTTAAACCACAGGACTAATACACCCACACTCATCCACAATGTTATTTATTATTCCAGTCGCTTTTAGAACTTAATTAACATTTCTGTTTAATGCACGGTGTGTGCTGTATGGTTTAATATTGTTATGATGTATTTTATATTGTATTGCTTATTCGCACTCACCATGACTGAATTGGTTCACCGAATTAGCGTTCGGATCGACTTCTTTACCCGTCTGCTGTGAACTACTGCCGACTATGATAACACCTGCAACACAAAAACACGTTTACAATAACATAATATTATATTTCGTCATATATTTTAATGTATTTTATACACGTTAGGTACCAATTATTACTATTATGGTTGACACAATGTGGTACTAGCTAACTTTTTATTTTTTTTTTTGCAAAATAAAAAACCAAAACAATAACCACTATTTGCACTCTATACTTCTATAGCCTGTATACCAATATAAAATTATGAAATAAAATTATTCTGGATAAGCCTAGTTACAATTAGCTAAAATAAATGCACGTTAATTCATCAACGTTTTTAGTTTTATAATAATTAAATTCTACATCTACTACTATTGTCATAATGTATATTATACTAGTAATTATTATCGGACACTGGTATTATTTATTTATTAACTATTATCCAGTATATTTGGTGTTTGAAAATACAACCAATATACCTTCTGTGATTCGGTAATTTATTACCATTGTTGCCTGAAATATAGTTCCAAAGTAATTACTGAAAATAATGGATACATAACTGTCCTCAATCCAAAGTGTATTAGTCTATGTCAGCGGTCGCCAACCTCTTGGATCTTACAGACCACTAAATCAATAACTCTAAATCCTACAGACCACTTACACTCATAAGTTTTAAATACCAAATTAAAAAAAAATTAAATTAACGCATATTTTATAAAATATCAATAAAGGGTTTTTTATTTATAACAAAATTATTTAAGTTAGTTTAATTAATATAAATTCTCAAAAAAAAAAAGTTAAAACGAAGACTGAATTCGAATCATTAGTATTCTTAGAACGTATTGCATTAACGATATTAAATCTATTTATTTTCTAACATGCGATAATAATGACAATATTACTACTCGTTTATTTTTATTTGTCGTGAACTGTACAGTGACATTATACAATACTTTTGTATATTATGATTATAAACACAACATTACAAATAAGGTTCAAATCCAAATTTTTACTGTGAATCACTGGTTGGTGACCGCTGATCTATGAAATAACCAAAAATTCTATTTTTGATGATATGCACGAGTATTTAAACCAGTAAACCACATACAAACACAAAACACAAATGGTCCATAGTCCTAAAAATGTATAAGCTATATAATAGTGGTTTACGACTACACAAAGGTTAAAATCCTCTACTCTAAAACAAATTGTAAAACTATAATTTTTTATTATTATAAGCACGCTATTTTTTTTCTTTTTAACTCTTCCCTCCCTCACGATTTTAAAAAATATTAAATTTTCCTAAATTGGTAGACTGTTCTAGATTCATCAAAAATAATAACATTGATACCGATAATAAATAAATACAGACTATCGGTATCAAAATAATTATTAAATACTTCCAACTTAGAATTTTTAAGTAATATCTAAATGAGATTTCTTCTCCAATAAATTGTTATTTATATTAAATTGTATTGTTTCTGCTCACTTATGAGCTTACTCGTTCTAAAATTAAATTTAAATACTTAAAAGTAAAAATAAAAATGTATTTAAAAATTCCATCATTAATATCGATGAATTATTACTAACTTGTATAATATAGTCTCAATGTATCATCATTATAAGGACTAGCTACGACGACAAAGATTATAATTAACTTAATTTTATTGCTAACCTATATTATTAACATATTTCATTGACTAAGAACAATTAACACAAAATTAAACTTAAAAATAAATTTTTATAACATTTTTAACTTAATTTACTTAAACATAAATAAATTTTGTATATACTATCAATATTATATTTATACAATGTATAGTATACATACATATTACATATGATGAACATATTATTTCCTAGTTAATAATAATATAATTTTCTTATCAACACATCGTCTTTCAAAATTCACATAGATGTTAATTAAAAAACTCAATGAAAGGTGGACGAGTTTAAAAGACCATAAACCTTTAACTATTCAATACGGTGCTGTTTCAATAAGCTGCTACTGTTTGAAAAATTGTTTTTTTATCAACCAAAGTTTTTTCTTTTTCTTTAAGTCGTTTATTATTACTACTACTATTATTATTATTATTATTTTTTTTTTTATGTATTATAGTGTATACTATCTGAAAGAATCGCACTTTATACAATTGTTATATGAGAATAAAATATTATAATTCATGAGAAAACAGTTTACAAGTATCTACAAATTCTTGTTAAGATTTTTATTTTTCTAATGAATAACTTCATACATAATAATGGAATATAAATTACAATAAACAAAAATTAATATGACGTGTAATAAAACTGTTAGGTAAGCTTCTTTGTTATAATTTTTACATTAAAACAATGTGATTTTTAAGTTAAGAATTCATTTTACAACATATGCAAGGTATAACATCTTCGTTCATCGATAGAAAATAACGATAACTTTATAAGCATTTATTTAAATAATAACATTTGTATGGTGGAAACTCATTTGCGCACATATATTAATACATTTAAAATTTTTTAACACTTAATGTTAACACATTAGTGTGTAAAAATTAGGAGAAAATAACGCTAAAACTTAAATCGACACTAAAATTTAAAAATAATTACATTGAAAAAAATACAGAATATTAAAAAATACTTTTAAAAGTGAAATGTTTATAAAAAAACAACATTGTAAAAATTATTTTTTAAATTTTATCTTTTGATCAAAACAGTTGTAAATTATAAGTAGCTATACTGCTACAGGAACTATGAAAAATTAAATAGCTCAATTAAGATTTTTAAACAAGTCAGTCTATGAGATCAAAATATGGTTAGAGACAAAAAGTCTTAGCTTTATAAAGAGTAAAAGGAAATATTGTACGACTATAATAAATTTCCATAATTGATTATTACTAATTAGACAATTTTCGATTCATACTACTTAATATATTTTTACTGACTTTTTCTAAGTTATACTATGTGGAATGGATGATTGAAAAAATATCAATAGTTATAAGACCTTCTAAGTTTATCTAAAATCTTCCCTCCTCCAAAAAATTTTAATCGTTTTTATTTCAGTTTATATTATAAAATTTAAGCCTAAAAAATTGATGGTTTAATTATTATTTTATTCCGAAGATTTATATGGCCGTCGTCGGTTCCAGTTCCAGTTTAATCACAAATCCTATGCTACGGCACAGGTTAAAACACGTAAAATACACGAATCTGGTTTGGCGTGTAGAGTATCGGGGTTGTAGTCAGTGCTCGAATTGGGGGGGGGACGCAGGCGGACGGAGTCCGCTTTCATTTTTTTGGAGGTTTTAGCGTCCCCCTTCATTTAAATAAGCAAAGAACGCTAAAAATGCGTCCCCCCTAGAGATATTTTCTTTCGAACGGTGTATTTGGATTTTGTTTTCGATTATTTTTATTTTCTATAGCAAACTGCAAATTAATGGTTATTTTTTCCTAGAAAACGGTTATCGTTGACGACAATCACGGATCAAGATAAAATATGAAAATAATATAATACTATCGATAACTATCGAGCTGATATGAGCACAGTGGTTATTGTTTTTCATAGAATACCGAATGATTATTATCAGCGCGTTGGTTTTCGTTTCATCGTGTTCACTATGACTGTTCATCTTATATTCTGTTGTTAACATTCTCATTGCACGTATAATAATTTTAAAGCGAGTTCGGTTATATAGCCGTATAGGTGTTTCTACTTTTGAGAACTTTTTGTTTAATCTTTAAGTCAATTAAAATTAACACCATGAGTGAAAAAAGAAAAACATTATATGATTTTTTTCAAAAAAAAAAACCAAAAATTAGTGATAGTGACAACGTGATTGTTGGGAATACAACAGGTAAGTGAATAACCTATTGGCTAGATAAATATAAATTGCAATGAACTATTAATCATAAATTTCTCATCTTATTAACATTTTTGTTGAATATTTAGATGGATTGAATTCGCGAGACGATTCAGTGGATCTTCCTTCGGCTGCATCTCAAGAAGGTAATACTAATAATACTATAGTACCTAAGTATTTTTTTACAAATTAAACTAATCTGTCTTATAAATTATTTCTATTCTAAAAGACCATTTTTGTCATTATTTATAAATTATCATAAATATTATTATGTTTTTATACTGTTGTAATTTATAATGATACCTATCAAAAAAATAAGTTAATGATTATTAATTTTTTTTTTCTAGGAAAAGAGAAGTCTTCAGTTGATTTGGAGGAAATTAGTTTAAATTTAGGTACCTATTTAGTTTTTTCAATTATAACAAAATTGAATTGGTATGTGTTTTATAGTTATAACTTATAAGTAATTAATATAATAACATTTATATTACAATTTGATATTAGATGTGTGCCTAATGACTAATATGTTATAATATTATATGTGTTTAAAGTGATAATAAAATATTTTGTATTTAACCTCTAAAAATAAAGTTGTTTTGTTATTTTTATTGTTATACTTGTTTATTATTAATTATATGTGTAGCTTGGTGTACATTGTAGCCTGTGTTTCTAATTTTATATTTGTTAATAAATTGGTAATTGTACATTTAACTTGTATTTATAATAAAGATGTTGCATAGCTGTGTCATACATTATAATGGTTTTTTTACTTAATTTTTATATAAATATAAAGGTGAATGCTTGTGTTAAATGTTGTTATTAAGCAATTTGTGTTTTGTTAACAAGTTGTTGAATATAATGATATATCTATAATGATTAAGTTTTTTTATCAATGTAATATTTTATTTGAATATTATATTGATTTTATTAAAATCAGTATAACATTTATAATTAAAATCATTTTAATTAATTCAATTAATTAATTAATTGTATTGTAAATTAATTTTAATTTGGATGATTAAAATAGGTAACACATGGAGTAATTTTTTTTTAAATTTTTTTTTTTTTTTACAAAAATAGATATACAATATAATGTCCTCAAAACTAGTACTACTGGTATTATTCATCAGCCAACTAACTGCATTAGTGACAACGAACCTCCTGAATGTTGGGACTTGAAACAAATAAAATATTT